ATCTATCTCCCTTCAGCCCACTTCAGCCTCGGGCTTCTGCAGACCACCTCGCACAAGACGCCTTGGCAGCGCTTCCGCATGGCTCACGCAGGAATAAATGAATGGCTGGACGCTGCCTCTTGATTTATACTTCTGTAATTCGCCGGTCTGCCCTTTTCCACTGGGCCCATGGTGCACACAGTCCCTCATGGTACTTGCTGACCGTACAAAGTGAGACTGGGACTGGGTACTGCTGACTAAGCGAAGTTGGACTCACCACTTGCCCACTTGCCTCTGAACTGCTGTGAGTAACGTGAGAAAAAAAACTCAGGCCACTTCTGGACCTTCCGCAAATCTCTGGACTTGGCCTTTCGGGACTGTAGCAGCTACGACCTTGACCTTTCAGGACTGTAGCAGCTACGACCTTGACCTTTCAGAATTGCTACAGCTACAGCCTCTACACAACTATGACCCCTACTCGACAGACCTACAGATCGAACCCCTATAGCTACACAGACCTATGACAGGCAACAGTCAACTACCAAAACACAGGTCACGGGTTCAAACACACAGGGGTCGACTCAACACACAGGGGTCGACTCGATACTGTACACAGGTGCAGGTAAGGTCTAGGGATCGAGCCCTGGGATGTGCATCTGCTACTGCAAAGGTGAAAACAGTTTCACTGCCGCCAGCCTAAATTCGAGGTCCTCCGAGAATACTCCAGTCTAAGGTAGGACCTTCACCTTTCTTATCTCTCTCGTAGGCTCGGACTATCTCGGGAGCTGTCTCTAGAAGCTCTGTTCGGGTAAACCAGCGGTCGTCTTCCGGCTCTTGGTAGGCAAATCGAACCTTGTACTGTTTCTGTGGACGACCTCTACCTCCTGTTCTGAACACATCTTCACCTACAATGCTGTCAATGTCGCACCTTACATCCATGTCCGGAGGGATCATGGGCCTCCGTGATGGAAACTGATGACTTGTGGTACCAGGCAACAACTTTGATGCATGAAAGACTGGGTGGATGTTGCATACTTGTGAGTGCTTCAACAAGTATGGGCAGAACCAAGAGATCAACCAATATAGGATGGCATTCCCCTAAGATCAGACTTCGGATCTCTTCGCTGTTAGGAACGCACAATCGGTCTACTATGTAGTCTTCTCGAACAATAACCCGTCTGTAGTGCGGTAGTCTGGTTCTAAGTCTGGGGCCTCCGTAACTCTCTTGAGGAGGTCGCTATAAATAGGGTCCTGCATATACGCTTCCTTGACTTTTTGTTGCAGGTCTCTCCCTATATCCAGATAATGCACTATCGCTCCGAAGTAGTCCGCCCTCCTACTTAGGGCGTCCGCAACTACATTGTATTTCCCCTTGACAGGCTTGAGCTCAAAGTCGTACTGATCTATCTCTGTGGCTCACCTGGTAAGCTTAGGTGTCATCTTGGCTTGTGTTTTCAGCCACCTTAACGTCTCGTGGTCTGAATATACTTTGAAGTGCCTCCCAAGCAAGTAGTGCTTTCAGTGGTCTAACGCTTGCATGAGAGCGTAGAGTTCCCTCTCATAGGTGGATGTCGCTACCTTTTCTGAAGGCATTCTAGCAAACATGAACTCTACGGGTCTACATCCATCGTCATCGTCTTGCTGTAAAACAACACCTATACCGTACTAACTTGCATCAGTGGTAACAACGACAGGCAAAGACGGATCGGCTACCTTGAGGACTGGGTACTCTATAGAGGCCCGCTTTAACTTCTTTAGGGCTGATGTACAGTCTTTATCCCACTTCCAAATTGCCTCTTTCTTTAGCAACTTGTGAAGGGGAGCAATGATGGTGGAAAAGTTCCTGACGAACTTCCTATAGTAATTTGCCAACGCTAGGAACGACCGCAACTCTGTTAGCGTGCGGGGAGTTGGCCAATCTCTAATCGCTGCTATCTTATTGTCCTCAGGCTTTATGCCATCCCCATCTAGGACGTGGCTCAGGTATAAAACCTGTGTCTTGGCCCACTCACACTTCTTCGCATTGATCTTGAAGTTAGCTTGTCTCAGCTTCTCCAAGACCTGCCTTAGATGGCCCTCATGCTCCTAGAGGGTCTTACTAAAAACTAGGATATCATCTACGTATACTACCACAAATCTATCTAACCATGGCCTAAATAGATCATTCATACAGTGCTAAAATGTAGCTGGCGCATTGGTTAGTCCAAAGGGCATTACTATAAACTTATAGTGCCCATATCTGGTCCTAAACGTCGTTTTGTGCTGATCATCAGGATGGACCTCTATCTGATGATAGCTTGACTTCAAGTCTATCTAAGAAAGTATTTGCAGCCCTGCACCCGATCTAGCAAATCATCTATGCGGGGCAGTGGTTCTACATTCTCACTGTGAAGGCATTTAGACCCCTATAGTCAATGCACATTCTCAACTCTCCCTCCTTCTTGAAGACAAACAGAACAGGCGCTCCGAAAGGGCACGAACTCGGCCTAATCCAACTCTTCTCGAGGAGCTCATGCAATTGCTTGGGCAACTCCTCTAACTCCCTTGGGGACATTCGATACACTGCTCCTTTGGGAGTTCTACTGCTAGGCTCTATCTCAATACGATGCTGGATCAGCCGCGATACCACTACTATAGGCGGCTCAGACAAATCTGTATATTCCTCTAAGAGTTTGCCAATACGAAGGTTTATGGACTCTTCGGTTTTAGGCTTAGTGACTGGCCTAACATAGGCTACAAAGACCTGTCCTTCTAGCTGCTCCTTCTTCACTAACCTTGCGCATGCAGGAGCGTTGAGGCAGCAATGTGCTAAGGGGTTGTCTACCCGTGACACACGAAACAGGCGAGCAGTCTTAACTCCACCTGTTGGACTAGGGAGCCTACACCCATGCTCTCTCAAATGAAGTGTT